TACAACACCACATCTCTGTAATAAAAGAGTGGTCTGCCCCCTGTTTAAAATATTTTGAGTAATAGGGGAAAAAAATATGCCAAAATCAGTCGAAAACTATTGAGAATTTGAAATGGTATCTCAAGACAGGATAGGAAAACATTTAGTCTCAAAACTACAGCAAATGATCTCAGTTCTCGTAGTTGACTAGATGTAAGTAGAAGAATTGAGGCAAATTGAAATGTGTAGCTGGAATTAAATAAAACTTTGCATTTAGTATACGCTTGCCTGTGCTTTTTTCCTGTTAATTATAGGCTTTAATAATTTACAAATCATTTCTTTCTGGTTTTATTTACCGTTTACACAGCTCCAACTGTTTGGCCATTTTTGCGCAGGGATAAAAATTCCAAAAATGAAGAGTCACCTGGAAGACTCAGGTTAGCTCTAGAAATCAGTCACAATCAGTAGCGGCTAACAAATGTCAGACAAAACACCCGTTTGGTGCAGAATGCTGGCTGCCTTGAACAAACACAGAAATGTTAAAACTGTTCAACTGCAACAGATCATGCGAATATCACAAGCTAAAAATAGCCTTTACCACAAGTCTGAGCACACCTTAAGGCCAAGGTTCCTTTAATAGCGGGGCTCCAAATCAAGTGTGTAAAAATAACAGCAGACATCTTACAATCCCGAGGCAAATTTTTTTAAAGACAAGCATTTTGGGAAATATTGACCTGGCTTGGATTTTAGCCGGCTACTGGACTCAGGGATGCAATCGACACTTGCCATTGGTTTGTATAAATTTGGATTTTCTGAAAGACAGTGCTTTTTTTTTTTTAAATTTATTGCGTCTGGTCTTTACACATTTCTATTGTATACTATAAACAATAGGAGATCATATATGGAAACAAATGTTTTTTTCTCTTAGTTTAAAAGGTAAGTGCTCAAGATACAAGAAAGCACGTATGAATTTTGTATATTTTAGCCAACACAGTAAAAATTATTTTTCATTTCATTGACCTTAAGCTCAGACAGCTGCACACACCCTCTCTCAGCAACACAGGCATATGCACTCAGGCACTCAAGCCTGAAAGCTCTGAGGCGCAGGAGCTCGCACACACATTCGACATACCTGTGAGGATACACAGAAATCTGGCATTATCTGCGACTCTCAGAAAAACATTTTAGCCAGCATCTGACATCTGTGGCTCTCGGCTTTAATGACTGCCTGCTACACCAAAATTAAATAAATAAATAGATGACTTGATGCCAAGTCATGTCAAATACACTCAGTAGAAAGAACGCAAAAAATGTTCCTTGTTGTGTTAAGGTTACATTTTACACCTCTAGCATGGTGTTTAGCATTTCGAGTTTGACAGGCCTTTTGAAAAGGCTAAAAAATGTTAATGCACTCATGAGGTTGGATCAATAAGGCTTGCAGCATGTGCAGGGGGTTACTACAGATGGTGAGTGTGATAGCACCAGAGGTGCCTGAGCTCATTAAGAAACAGGACCATACTCCGGTGCAGAGCAGGCAGAGGAGAGGGAGGAGGAGGGGAGGATGCAGAGCATGGACTGAGGTTTTTCACCTGAGTGTCACAGAGCTCTGATGAGTCGCCGCCATCAGAAAATGTCAAAAATTATGAATCGCCTCTTTGTGCATTCAGACGGCTACAGCAGATCTGTGTTAAATTAGTTAAAAGAAATAGTAGCATGTAGGTTAGAAGCTCAGAGGTTGTTCAAAGGCTGCAGGCAGCCGATCCACGCAGACGACTAGCTGGACTGTGGCGCCCTCTACCTGTCGCAACTTCTTATGAGCATGAAAATTCACCTGAATAACCGCAGTTCATGTGTCGAGAAATCACATTTTCTATAACCGTATTAGTGCATGAGAATAAAAAATCTTTGCCAATATGAAGAAAAAAAGAACACAAGGCTTATTAAACTAAAGCATTTTATTTCATGTTAGTCTTTGGGCCATCTGAAAAAACTGGAAAATCATTCATAAAACTCATATTTCACAGAACAGATGGTTTGGATTTTTTTGCCTGACATCACGAACAAAACTACATCTCTGTAAACTGGGTACAGTCAAACTGTTGCACAATTTCAAATCCACAGTGTGGAGTTCACACACAAATTCAACTTTCATTCCTTGTAGATGAAGTCACTGCTCTGAAAAGGCACGAGAGGAAAATGTTGCTGTTAACTTGCGTTTGCCAACAGCAGGACAAAAAACCCAAAGTTTTTCTCATTTTTAATTTCCTTTAATCGCTTTTGGACTTCATGACATTTGTTTTCATGAAACAAAAAAAGGTCTCCAGTACTGGACTGGAGATGCTGTGTCATTGCTCAAATCTGTTGTGGTTCCTGACACCATTATCATGTGCACTCTTATCAGTTTTGTAGTCGCTGATGCCTCCAGCTGCACACATTGTGTGTGAATCTGTCTCCATCTGGCCAAACTGAAGTGAACATTTGTCTTAAAGATGCTAGAGTGAATCGTCTTTATAATTCACCTCACTACTCATTGTATTCACAGCGTGCCCTTTTGTTGAGCAACACCATGTCAACGTCTTGACAACAACAATAGTGAAGTAATTAAGCAGTAAACTGTCTCTGACGTGCTCACATGGTCAAAAGGAAACAAACAAAACTAAAAAACTCCCAAATGACACCAGACTAGTCACCATCAGTTCTGAGTTTCTTTTTCTTTTTCTTCTTCTTTCCTGAGACCTCCACTTCTTCACCAAAGAATATGTCCACGGGTTCACATTTCACAGGCACCTCTTCCACCTTGACTTTGACACTGGGCTCCAGTCCCTCCTCCACCTCCTCTCGCTCTCTGTCCTTCTTTTTCTTCTTCTTCTTCCTCTTCTCCACAGAATAATCACCCTCCTGGAATGGGAGCTCCATCATTACTTCTTCCTGAAATTCATCCACAGGTTCCTCTTTCACATTCACCACTTCCTCTAGTCGCTCTTTTTTTATCCGTTTTTCCTTCTTTTTCTTCTTCTTTTTCCTTCCTTCCTCTTCCTCCTCCTCGTCTTCTTCTTGACCTGCTTCTTCTATGAATCGCTTGACTACCAGAGGTCGGAGAGTTGTGGAAGAGGGCCCAAAGGCAACTCCATCCAACTCATTCTCTGCCACGCAGGTAAGAGTGGGGGTCTTGCTGCCAAAAGGCTGGAATCGCTGTTTGAGTCCAGGCGGTATGGAGGGGGCTGGAGCAGCGGGGATGACCTGAGGGGCCTGATTGTTGCTGCTGTCTCCGTAGGTCTCGCACACATTAAGCAAGCCTGAAAAAGCAGGACCAACAACCATGCCATTTGACGGCTTCTTGTCACTGGTGAGCAGGCGGAGTTCTGAGGTACTGTGGTTGGATGCCAGGATGCTATAGATCTGCTGCCCGCTCCCAGTCTTGGCTCCAGCTTGAGCAGGAGCAAGAACCTTCAGGGTCTGGAGACCAGAGAGGGGCACCTTGATGCCACTGAAGCTGGATGGAATGAGAAAAGGTGAGTATGCGTCACTTAAAAGTACTCTGAAAAAAAGTTTAAACATACTGTTTCTGCTTACACCCTCATGCTGTTACTTTGTTACTTGATATTTAATGTAATTTTAGTACAAAAGCAACATAATTCTCACAATGGGATGTTGAATTCAGTACCAGCACCTTTACTCACCTTAGCGATACTTGTCATAATGGGTCAGTTACCATTTGTAGATTTTAAAAAGATACTAACAGATTTTACAGTCATTTCAATGACCTGACGACTACATGACTAGTTTTTAACAAATGCCACGGAGAGGTTGTTGCTGTTAAATGCAGTTAACTCAAAGTTCCACTGTGGAAACTGTGCAACACGGCAACAAAAATGAGACTAGAGGTGTACTCCTTTTGGAAATTACCTAAGTAGATTTAATCTCAGCGTTCACTGGCCAAAGTGCTGCACACAGTATCTACAACTACACACACACAGGCAAATTATTACGGTAAAAAAACAAAACAAAACAAAAAGTGAACACATATGATGCAGAATTAAGAGGCGTTCAACAATAAGCAGACACACTAATCGCTATTTTTATGTCAAGTGGTAACTGATTCTACAACCGTAGAGCAGCATCTTTAAAGGTTCTGACACTTTTTGTTTAAGACATGATTTTCAGACATATAAGAGAAGTTTGCCAATGGATCAGAGAGACCTGGGAGCTGTAAACAAATAAGATTTGTAATCTTAAACTGAATTCCAGAATGAGATGGGGTGAGCAGTGACTCCATCGTTTCGATTTAACCAAAACCTCAGAGGATATCTGGGAGATTTCGCTTCAGTAACCGGAGATATGCGAGGACTGATGTCTGTGTGAATGTTTATTGATGATATCAGAGAGATATTCAGCTTTTGGCTTCTTTATGAAAGTATTATTACTGTGGATTTTGCATCTGAAACTTGTTTGTGGTTTAAACTGTTTATATGATTGCGTGGAGAGGAAGGACAAAAAAACCCCCAAAAACACCATTGCAAAAAACAAAAAAGGCTAAAAAATTGTTATTGTGTTAGAAAAAAAAATGTTTGCTGTGTGGGATAAAGGTAAAGGCAGACTGTACCCACCATTTGGGATCAAAGCTGGCTGGAGCTTTAATGAGCCATAACTCATTCTTGTTCTTCTTGAGGTTTTGTGCTAGAGTGCTGCTGCAAGGCTCATGGCAGAAAGAGACAAAGTCAGGAGGACACTGGTACCTTGTAGTGTTATCTGTGGATTAAAAAACAACACCATCGAGTCAGAAGCACAGAAACTGGAACACCTTTTAGTGTGGATATTAACTTTCTTCTGTTGCTTTATCGATAAACCACATATTTAATGTAAACACAATCGTTACCGCTAGCCTGCTATACCGTTTGCCGTCCTCTGGCTACTTCTAAGCCTTAATGAATCTGCTCTAACGTAAGTAACTACTAGCATATCACCTCCATTATTACACTAACTTCGTGCAACGTCTGCGTGTTAACTTACCGGATTCTGTCGGTTTGGGCGCCGATTCCACACCAGTGGTGTCCGCTTCATCTTCGCTCGATGAGGATGATATGTCTTTCGGCATTTTTTTATTTTAAAATACGATCAAATTTCTGAAATTAAAAGTTTCTGTCTCCAAACGCATGGCTTGTGTGGGACGCACACGTGTTGACAAAAACTGACCTGTGACCTTTAAGTATTTCACTTCCGTGCCAGTTCTTACTGTAGTTCCACGACGAGGCCCTCTATTGACTTCGGCGAGTAAGCAAACTCAAATACCCATAATTCACCTCACGTGGTTACGTAACGTTCCAGAGCCAGTCTGGGAAGCCGTTGACAGCGGGGAAGAGTAGGCCGAAGTCGGTAAACACAACAAATATATCAAAATTAGTTGTAAACAACCAAAATATTTGAGCTAATTTCATATATGTAGAATGCGTAACATTATTTTAAAGCTGTGTGAGGTCCGTTAGGGGACAAAGTCAGTAGTAAAGAGGGCGTGCACCTGTCCACGCTAAGTAGGTTAACGCAGCTAACCTGTGCTAGCACGTTAGGAGGTTCGCTGAACACGCTCAGGTTAGCTCGGCCAGCCATGTCGTCCCCTTCCTCCTCCAGGCGCCAGTGGTGCTACCTGTGCGACCTGCCAAAGATGCCATGGACCGTGGTGTGGGACTTCAGCGAGGTGGTCTGCCGTGGATGCGTGAACTACGAGGGAGCCAACCAGATCGAATTCCTGATCGCAAGCGCCCGCCAGTTGAAGCGAACTCACGGCATGCAGGACGGTAACGTGAGGTCACCTGGTCCCTCTCCCAATAAACACGGCACATCAGCCCGGGGAGAGGTGGCGGCAGACGGAGGCAGGCCGCACGGGGACCGTTTCGAGAGGGGAGGAAGAGGAGAAATTACCGCTTCAACTATTCGTGTACCGCCAAACGGGCTGCATCGTGACGGGCAGCCGCCTCAAGAAGTTAACCGTCAGAGCCCCAGTGGCAGCCGGAGATCAATGATTAGCGCAGCCATCCCTCCTAATCTAGTAACTCAGAGTATTGCAGGTATTCCCCCTGGGATACTTGCAGGGATGCCCGCGGGTCTGACGGCCCGGACAGCCCCTATGAGCAGCCCTATGATCTTCCCTGCTCCTGTGCTGGCAGAGATGAGTCGCAGACAGCTGGGAATAAGCATGGGGATCGCCCCTTTTATCGCGCCAGAGCTGGAGCGAGAGCTGAGTTCCTCCCAGAACCAGCCCAAGACGCAGACCCACACAGTTGTGGCTGGCAGCAGTACCAGCAAGAGTACAAGCTTGGCTTCTTCATCGTTCTCCATGGCTGGAGGTGTAAGCCAGACTAGTCCTAAACCTGCATCATCTCCAGCCAGGCAGCCACGCCCCCTAACTGCAAGGTCAGGAGGAGAGCCCCTGGGATCCAGCACCTCAGCGGAGGCAGCTACCACCGCTGCCGCAGCGTTACCCCACAGCGGTGCCTCTGAGCTGGCATCTGCATCTGCCAATAACAGCCATTCGGCTGGAAACAGTCTGTCCTGCACCTTGTGTCATGAGAGACTGGAAGACACCCACTTTGTTCAATGTCCATCAGTGCCAGGCCACAGGTTTGTATGTTTGTCATTTATTTATTGTTATATAAATATCCTATAACATTGTTTGTTTTTAGCTTTTAGCCAGGTTAGCTATTTAAATATGTCTTGCTTACAAAAGCATGTATTTGTTAAACTGGTTATAAATATATATCCTGCAGTTGTTAGCGTCCCTAATAATTATGTCCACTGTAATACTCTTCCTCCGCCAAATATAGGTTCTGCTTCCCGTGCACAAGAGTGTATATCCAGAGTAGGCATGGTGATGGGGAAGTGTACTGCCCCAGCGGAGAGCGCTGTCCATTGGATACCTCTCCCAACAGTCCCCCATGGGCCTTCATGCAGGGGGAGATAACCACCATTCTGGGAAATGGTGCTGCCAGTTCAGGATCGAGCGGAGCAGGGTCTGCTTCAGCTCCTGCATCAGCTCCTACATCTGGAGCCAGTAGTGGACCTGGAGCTGCAGCTTCATCAGGGTCTGGAAGTGGAACAGCAGCAGGAACAGCTGGAGCCGGAGCAGGGAGTGGGAGTGGAGATGTCACTGTCAAGAAAGAGAGAGAGACGTGATGGTGGTTTCAGTGGCAGCATGGACCCAACACAGCAACAGGCAGGTCTACAGGCATCTGACCTTTGTGAAGAAAATTTATAAAAAGCACTTATGTTTGGTGTTTATGTTATTGATATGAAGTGGGATAAAGTGGGACACAAATTGGGGTTAAAATACAACAAGAGATGCTCTCCTGTTGTATTCTACAAGTGTTTTAACAGTAATATCCATAATCCCAACCATGGTATGATCGATATGCTTGCAGCTGATATTAACTATATTTTCACGTGTGTGTTTTCTGTCCCAGAATCGTATCCCAGATCAGAACAGACGTCTCCCCCGAACAGATAAGAGTCCCAGAAGAGAAGCAACGTAACAACCTACAAATCTCAAAACATCCACTAAGCAAGTTAAACTGCTTGTCACATTGCAATGAATTCAAAACTATTAGGCCTAATCAGAGATCTGATGATGGCGGCAAAGACTGCCTGCACACATCACTTGTTTTTTCTCTGAGCACTGTATAGTGAGCTTGTGAAATTAAATTTCCCAATGCATTCTGTGCATGCTCACTTGCAGCAATGCTGTAAAACAGTTTAATAACAGTTTAATGCCATTTTAATGTTTCAGTCCAGAAAACAGCAGAGATACTAATGGAATATCACCACCACAACCAGACGTACAGCGTATACATATCCCTAATCATGCAATGGTGGAATCACATATTCAGGAAGACTTACAAGCTGGACAGCGGCTACTGCTTAAGAGTTGGTAATTAGTTTTGTTACTTGAAACAAGCATCGCTTTCACGTTAGCAGATGGATATAGATTACAGCATTCCTATCTGAACACATACAATGCAGCTTTGTCAGGTGCTTCCTGGATCTTCCCATTAAGCACAAGATATCCTTTAGTGTTGGTGCTTTGGCACTATAGCTGCACTACATTGGCTGCTGAGGCGTAACAGCAACTTTTAACAGGAGTGTAAAGGTCTAGTGAGGATGTGAGGTGATGATGGCACATTTTACTGGGTTGACTGCCAAGAGAGCCTGATTTGTACCCCATTCATACCTGTGCGTTTTATCCTTTGTTTTTGTTTTGTTTTACCTCGGTTTATGCTCTCAGATCCACTCACTGGTTAGGTTTAGGCACTAAAGACTACTTGGTTAAGGTTAGTGAACCCTGCTCCTTGACAAATGATGCGTTGCAGGCGATTGATGGCTCATTTATACCATAACCCAGTGTATCACAGCAAACATGCCAAAGGACACTTTCAGCATAAATTAGTTAGGGTTTAGCTACAATACTAGGTACTGATTGGCACCTTGGAGATAAAGACAGAAATACTTTAGTCAAAGCAATTGACATCAGTTTAATTTGTGTCAGTGATGGCTTGTTAGGAGACCTGATAGATGAGTGATTAGAGTTCTCAAACTCTTAGACAATAGCCGCTTCCCTGTGTTGTCAGCATACACTCAGCTTTGTGCAGAGAAAAGCACAAATATATATACTACATATACACATATATATATTTACATGTATGTCAAAGTATATCTAAACAACAGCCACAGCTGTTCTTTTTATTGTTGAAAAGTTGAGTTAATTGTCTTGGGAAAAATGCCATATTATTTACCAATGCTTCATCAAATGAAATATTTTCTGCTTCTACAAGTTAAATTTACAGCTTATAACTGACACGACACTGACAGTGATGATGTAATGTACCTTCAGCAGATTTTTTTTTTTAATTGCTTCATGACTGAATCTGTGTCCTGATGCACAGATGTTTCTTTCTTTCTTTTTTCTTTTAAATCTCCAGTAAAACATCTAAACAAACCTGCGTTAGATGTGGACAGAATGCCAGTAGAGACATTTCTGTGCGCTTGTGCATTTGTTGTTTTTGTTTTGGCTTTTTTTGTCAGCTTAAATTGAAGCTGACTTTAACTCAGAGAAAGGAGAATGTTTTGCTGTGTAGACACAACCAGTTAGCCTGTCAGCGCGTCAACCAGCAGCAAAAACTCAGTGTTTTACTGTATTTAAATGTTGCTTTCATACAAGATCCAGCCCAGCCTACATTTTACCCCGAATGTATATAAAAAAAAATCTATTGATAGGCCTATGATTATATTTTATACTAGAATGTTAAATGTTATATACTGTAAAGAACTGTAATAGTACACACGTGCAATCCTTAGACATAGTACATGCAAGAGTTTGACATATGGTATTAAAAAAATTGTGCATCATTTCTTAAACTTTTTTTTTTTTAAGTGAGAATCCACTGAAAAGCGGGAATCTTTGTTTTTGATCAAGAGATGTTTAATAAATCTGTAGCCTGGTTTCCAGTCATAGTATTGAACATTGTATATTATTTCCCATTTGCTATATTTCAAAATGAATTTCATAAATACATTAAAGTGCGCAGGGATTTCATGTTCCTAAATTGAACAACCAGACATTGTAATGATAATATGTCAAAATGAGTTTGTTTTTTGGTGGATTCTCTCTTTATGTGCAGCGAGTACTTGACAGTACAGAAGCACAGACAAACCAAAGGTAATTTTATGCCCAAAATGATGTTTATAAATGTAAATGTTTTATGGAAGACATATATTTCATTATTTTTCAACCAGCTGGTTCTCTTCATTAGGCCGTTACAGTTAACAGGCCAATGTGTTCTACTGTACTTATAGGATATGTACAATCTATAGTCTGCAGCAGATCCTTACATAGCACTTATATATTTTAAAGGGGACCTATTATGCTAATTTCTAGTTCAGTATTTTTATGTTTTACTTTGCTAGAGTAGCTTTGCATGATTCATAGTTCAAAATAATTCACAATTTTTCTCAGACTGGGCCTTGATGCAGCCCTCCAATTCTTTCTGTCTGAAAGTTCTCCCTTTAAGTCATCTTTCTTCTGATTGGCTGCCTATTGCAAACAGAAGGCTTAAAGAACTGGTGGGTGGGGCTTTCTCTTTGACATCAAACAGAACTAACAATAGAAAAGAAGTGTCAGAAACTGAGTGTTTAGAGCCTGAATTATAACGTGACCAGGATTACATGTACATACATTAACCTCGTGTTTTGAAATTGTAGCCATGTTTCTTATATGCATCCACCTCAGTATATATTTGACAGAAATTCAGGAGGGAAAAAAGCATAATAGGTCCGCTTTACAAAAAGATCCCACAGATCAGGCCTGTTGTAGAGAAGCTATCTTTGAAGAAATGTAATAGTATAATATGCACTGATATGTCATGCAATCCCTTGTTAAGTGCCTTTTAAAAATGTTTACCATCTGTTTTTGTGTCTGGGAACCTCAGGGGAAGTTAGGAGTGCAATGGCTTCTTTTATTGTCTTGTCAATGATTAACCTGAATCTGCTTCCCTTCGATCACCATCTGACCGCTTTTGCTTTTATCTGAAGCCTTCGTAAAGTTGACAGGCCCTTCGGTGTTTTATTTGAATCCTCCCACTATGTCGTTTTTCATTTATGTGACTTTTTTTTGTAGATCTGTCAGTTTTATTGCAGCTTCCTGTACAACATAAAACCAGGAATAAATGGGATGGAAACTTGTCCTTCTCTTTGTTGTTTATTTACAAGTTTTACTGAGTATCTTTACCTGTTTTTTTTTTTTTATTATTTCTGGGTAAAACTTCATATAATGGAACTGCTCACCATCCTTCTGTTAGAATCGAAAGACTTAAATGCTAGCTGTCTGAAATTGCTACAAGTCAAGGAATTTTCATATATTTATTGCTTGTGCAACCATGCATCCTTATTCTAATTATCTTGGCCCAGCTCGCTGGAGTAGATCTCTGAGCA